AGCCTTACGCGCAACGTGACTGCGTCCTCGCATTTCTGGTTGTTCTCTACCGCTGAGTATGGGTTTCTCTGCGGGATCGACGCAAAAGCTCGGACCTTAGGGATTGTGCTGTGTTGTGGGTTGGGTTGTGTGGGGTCCAAAGAGGCAGCCGGTCCTCTATAATAAGCGTCATTTCCGCGCCTTCTCAAGTGCCAAGTGTTACAGTTGCCAACCCCATCTTCTCGCACATGGGAAGAACCATCCCCGGATGTGAGGAATGTACAGTTTGTCTTTGACGCGACAGAAGGAAAACTGCGTTCAAGCCGTTTCAGGAGCTACACTATGCTGATACGTGATATAACCACCGCTGTGGGCGGGGCTTACCATGGGTCACGGGTGCTATTTACATCTTGCCCCATGCCCTACCCATCCCCACCTTGACCCGACCTCTCCAAGTTGTTCTTCAGGTCGAACCGAATTTCCGGACAGACAAACAAACAAACAAACAAGCAGACGAAACAAAATTATATATAGTGTGGGTGACAACGACATTACGTAAGGAACATCCGACAGACGGCATGAAATTTTAAAAGCGCGCACATAGCAATATTATGAGATTGAGGAAGTTTCGCAACACGTTTCTCTCACAATAGAGCTGACCATTACGTTTTTTTGTTATATGTTTACATTACATGATATGGATAAATTTCAGTAAGGTGGCTTCAGCATCATTAAAATTGCAGCGAAACGCTGATTCAACAAAATCAATAACATTAACTTCACACTCGTAGCAACAATATGACCAACAGCAAATATGATAACAATCAATCAGGACTGTTCTAAGCTCTATTAACAGCTAGACTATAATTCTGCTTTAGTTCCTAACCTCAAGTTTAAACGCTAAATGATTCTCGTAACCTATCCACTTTAACAATACGTCGCATATCAAATTTTCGAAGATTAATATTAACATACGCTCCATCGAAGTGGAATCGCCTCAGCGAAAAAGCGTCGTCAGCTGGCCCCAACAGAATGCATCGCCTCCATGCCACAACACTATGTTTCTTGCCGGTTTTAGCGTCCAATTCAAAAATGTTGAGCACTACGGAGCGTATTCGCTTCCCAAAAAAACTTCACCCGTAAATTATGCTTAAGTATGCGATGGATTAAACTTCATGGAGGGATACCCAGACGGAACCCTTACGAATTAGGGTTGTTGGGTTGAAATCATTGATGGAGAAGAACTAGAACGACTGCCAAATTGCGGTATTCAAATTATTGAAAAACTTAGTAAATCAAAGCAGATGACTTTTTCCGTGTGCTGCCATCTAACTCAAGAGGCGATTCCATTAGACTCTCATCTATATATGCCAGGACTCACCTTAGATCAAAGTTTTTCGGTAATAGAGTTTGCTCAAGGTTCAATTACCTTTTGCGGAGCAATGTCTTACAGTTCAAATATCAAGTTTTAAGCGACATGTGGGAGATTTTGTAGAGACTACGAATTAGTTGTAATTTGCTATATAGAGGATTATACAAATGATGTTGTGTTCTGTTGCATTACCTGGTTTTAGTTTTATTTGCGTTGTAAGTTTTATTGTTGAATGTGCTCTGTCACGTCAACCGAATAAACAAACAAACAAACAAACACAAAACTTTTTTTTTTGCTAAACATTTGACTACAGAGGAAATTTGGGGCCTTGATAACGGATATGACATTACTTTTTGGCGCCATCTGGGTAACAATTTGGGCCACCACGTTTCTCACCAAAATCGATGAAAACTTGTATAAGGATGGTTAATCGACATCCTGATCACAAATATGGCATTCGTTTTTACCGCCTGTGTCACTCAGGTCTCTGCTAAGGCTGAACATAACAAAAGTGGTTCCCTTCAGCCAGTCCAAGCCTTAACAGAGTTAAGTCCACTGTCTAGGGGGAGGGTGCAGACAAGAGGCAGCAAGCGTGCGCGTGTCACATTGTCGCCTTTCCTCATCCTCTGAACTCGACTGAAACCCTATACAGATGTAATATTCGGTGTTCAAGAGATCAGACTACCCCAGGGAATTGGTTTCCAGAGAATTTGACGATTTGGGGTATTTCGGGCGAGTGAGCGCTTTATCTTACCAAAATGTGATATCCATGTTACAGGAGTCGAACTATCTCGGACGGACAGTTCTTCTGCAAATCTGGGTGAATTGGGATTTGGCGGCTGAGTGATAGGCGTTTCTGGGCCACGGAATGGTGGTATTCCGCTCAAGAGGTAAGCTACCTTCTGAGGCCGATTCCAAGACTTGGCACCGTCTCTACTGCTTTATGGTAGCTGGCAGTGCGGTGAAAATGGCATGAGATCATTTGTTATGGATAAGCACTCATTTCGGTTGTTCATTCTAGGATTCCTAGCAGAAATCCAGAATGCCTCCAGCGCTTTCCTGGCGGAAACCTCAGTCTCGTACGCTAAAATTTTGCTTTCTCATCATAGTCGTTCCCTTTTCTTTCATACTGGATTGCCAGCATGTAGAACGGCACATATGAGGGAGACTGGAGGGCGCTAGCAACGCGTAATGCAAGGAGAGCATCTTGCTGTTAAAAAGACGTGGTAACTGTCAAACAACCGTGGGCGAAGGCATCTGATCGAAGAGCCTTGCGGAAACGACTAAGATGTGAAATGGCCAATTTTAGCGTACGAGACTGAGGTTTCCGCCAGGAAAGCGCTGGAGGCATTCTGGATTTCTGCTAGGAATCCTAGAATGAACAACCGAATGAGTGCTTATCCATAACAAATGATCTCTTGCCATTTTCACCGCACTGCCAGCTACTGTAAGCAGTGAGACGTGCAAGTCTTGAATATAATTACTATATGTAAGGACAGCACAGTAAGTCTCACAAATACTACTAACAACTGACTGGGCGGCTTCTTCCGCTCCTGCCGCGGTGGACTTGGTGAGTTGGTTATACATACGGGATATTTTCGGTTGTTCTCTGAAGTCTGCGTCAGAAACGCGTAGGGGCGAAGGCGGGTTGGACGGGTATAGAAGCAAATTAGAATCCTGAGGCCAGTTGAGCTCTGAGACGACGATCTGTTCGAACGTTAGGCCGTAAATAAAACAGTTCCACCTAACAACCTCGCAGGCACAAAAAGACTTAAAGACAGCTCCCGCGATAAAAGTGTCAAGGATAATTGCTGATCAATTATGAAACAGTAGCTGATAAGTAATTCCTCAATGAAGGAAAAAAGAAACAAGAGCCCTCAAGAACACCATAAACAAAATCGCGCCCTGACAGTCACACCTCCCTGCGGTCTCTGTGCAAGCCCTGGCTCACAAATCACTTTGTCACATCTCCCAGTAGTGGATATCATCGAATGCGAAGAAAAGAAAACAGAAAAACAACAGAAACATAGAGAAAAAGCTCTTGAAAAGAAAAGGAAACATTCAATAAGCCGGCGTCCGATCTTGGGGTACTGCTAGCGCAGCATGCCGTTTAGTTAGTAAAGTGCGTCGAGCTTTTGGGCACCAACAGAAATTGCATAATTCCGTGATTTTAACGCTATTTACTGAACAAGACTGCGAGTTGCTATTTGACCTGGAGTGCTCCGCTGATTAATAGAAATGTAATAAAGGAGAGCAGAATCATTCATTGGGCATGAGCGCTGTCAGCAAAAAAAAGACGGGAGCCTGAGTTCCCGATTAATGAGCTTGCAGCTCCTAAACAAGGAAACTGAGCGGCTTGTTTCCCGTCAGAGGGCCAGGCTAGCTAGTGAGAGCGCCAATCTGAAGCAGGCTCGTGTTAGAACTAGAACTTTGAGCGGTTCTAGCTCGCTCCTCGCTCGCTGAGGAGTCGCGAGAGTGAGATAGTATCTAGCTTGGGGGCTGAACTAACTGCCCAAGGAAGGGGTTGACGGACGCATGTACTACTTGAGGCCGGGGGCTGTCTTAAACACAAACAACAGGACTGCACAAGAAGGGTGACCAGCACGCCACTGACAATTATCGCCCAATCTGCTTGCTGACTGTAGTCTACAACCTCTTCACACGAGTCATTCCTGGACAGGAAAGGCAGAACATTAGATGACTGGAGAGCCTTGCGATCAAGCAGGGTTTCGAAGAGGATTCAGCACGATTGGTCACATCCACACGGTAACGAAGCTCATCGTATACATACACGACATTTTTTATGGCTCACGTTCACTTAGACTTCGGAGAAAGGCCTTTGTACTCTATATGCGGATAGCAGCGCCTACCGAAGCAACCCTCAGCAAAATTAGGGTAGCCCATTACTCAGTAGCAACACGATATACCTCATAGTGCTTTTGAACGCAACGTTCATGACCAAGATCTCAACATTTACAACGGAGACAGCTCTTCAGCGCCTCTCTCGAGAACGTCATGCCGACTGGAATAGGAAGGCATGGAGGTGTAGATCGTCGGCTGGCAACTACAACATCCGCTTAGCACCTGGGTCGGGAAGGTGAAAAACAACTGCTAGAACTCAAAATAAAAGAAGTCATGCTGTTTCCCAACGAAACCATAGAATAATAGCAGACTAGTAACCACTACACCCTGTCAAAAGGAGAAGTCACAATACTAGATTCTTAACACATTCCGAACCGCGTTTTGCGAGGATCTCCGCATCATTTCGTCACTTTTTGAATTGATAATCGGTAATTTCATCTGCATCTTTCACATACTTACTGAGATATATGTATTCTCTGTCTAGCAACGGGTTGTGATAACTTAGGAACACGAAAAAAGATGCTAAAAAGACCACATGAAACAGCGCAGGAAGAAAAATGCGTGGCACCATGTGTATCACGCGGTCCAGAACGTGTTAGGCAGTGTTCAGACTTCGCGACTTCAGTCGCGCGTTCGACGCGATCAATGCAGTCGAAAGCATGCGCATCGATCGCGTCGAACGCGCGACCGAAGCGCTGCCGTCGCGAAGTCTGAACGCTGCCTTAATGTGCTCAGCGTGACACCCCGCCTTTCAAGTAGAATCACCGCATCCCACTGCTACTTACAATCAACAAAATGAAATGATTAACACGGAAAACTGTAAAGAAAAAAAAGCAGATAAGCAAAACCTGGAGACATACCTGCCACCAAATCCGCACATCATATAGAGATTCTGGTAGAGTGGATGTTCACCTATTACTGGAGCACTATCAAAAGTGTTCACGTCTTGAAAACCACACCATGCCGACTTTATCTGAAATATCTCCCGCACATGTTAAATCACTTGAATACATAGAAATGAACAAGTTTCCAATTTTAGAACCTTTTCTGGTTTCCACGTCTTTAAAGACAGCCCCCGCGCTCGAGTAGTACATGGTCGTCCTTCCTTGTGCAAGTAGTACAGCCCCCAAGCTAGAGACTGTCCCACTCTCGCCTTACACCACATTTTTCGTTTTTTTTTCCACTGTTAGGTGGTACTAGCATTTGATTTGATTTGATTTGATTTATTACATGTACACATGTACATGGAATCATTAGAAGAAACAACAATTCAAAAAACAACATATGTCCATGGAACTGAAGTATCATTCAACGAGAAAACATAAAAAGAGAAGAAGGGAAAAAATGGAATAGTTAGGGCTATGGCACCGAGTCGACCTCCCAAGAATAAGCAGAAAATTTATAGGGAAGAAACCGTAGAAGCTCTCATTTTAAGTAACAATGCAAAGCCATTTGATGACGCGGAGAAACCGTTAATGAGCCAGAAGCGGAAGGATGTCGCTTTACTGGAATAAAACGAGCAGGTCCGAAGAGCTCGTGCTCTAAAGGTGCTAGTGGTCTTACATGTGTTCTCAGGACCTTTTTTCCATCTACAAAGTCGTTTGGCGACTATAGATCTGTAGCTGAACGCCACTTCCATCACATGCAATCGCGGGGTTTGTCTTTCGGGTGTTCGTTCCCTCTAGTATATGTTCACTTGCCTTCCAGGCGTTTTCGTTTGAGCAGTGGTCTGCTTAACACTTTCCGGACTGCGTGACACACGCGGTGTGTCACACACTTTTTTCTGCACTATTTCATTTGGTCTGTTGGGCATTTTTTTCGTGTTCCAAAGTTATCACAACACGTTTCTAGACAGGGAATACACATATCTCGTAAGTATGTGAAAGAAGCAGATGAAGTTACTGATTATATTAGGTTGGCAATAAAGTTCTGTCACATTTTTCAAATCAGGCTTTCTTTTTATAGCGAGGCGTACAAGATCAAACTTATGCAGCATATTATTGCGGGTTCCTTGCCAGTTTCTTGAGCACTTCGT